TTTTATATTTTGAATTGTATCGAAAAATAAAAATAAAAACAACAGAATTAATGCATCAAACAAAGTTACTTGTTAATTTTCACAAAGTTTCTTAAATTTCAAAAACATGTCTTAAACAATATTATATACACTATTTGTATTGTTTGGATTATGCCCCTCAATTTTATTGTCATATTCACGACGTTTCGGCTGTTGTACGCTCCGGCATTCTTCCGGTGATATACGCTGAAATTTCGAACCGAACCTTTTATTTCGTCCACCGGGGTGGATTGTTCTCGTTCCATGTGCCATGTCTCCTCTGAATATTTCAATAACGCGATTACTAAACATTTTCCCTTTAGTAACTTAACTCTCCAAATTTTTGTTCTGTGGACAGGTATTGAACTCACAACTCCTTGGGTCAAGTCAGTGGATTACTTCAGCCACCATTTTTATCCGGTAGAGGATGTACTCTCGTGAATATGATAACAACAGTCCGAGCAATGTAAATAGTGTAAATAATTACAATACCTCATCTCAGAAATAGACAGATCTTGATAAAGGCCTGAGCATACAACAGCCGAAACGTCGTTAATATGGCAACAAAGATGAGGACAACAGTCCGAGCAATGTAAATAGTGTAAATAATTACAATACCTCATCTCAGAAATATAGACAGACCTGATAAAGGCCTGAGCATGCAACAGTCGAAACGTCGTTAACATGGCAACAAAGATGAGGACAACAGTCTGAGCAATATAAATAGTGTAAACAGTTACAATACCTTATCTCAGAAATATAGACAGATCCTGAAGAAGGTCGGAGTGTACAACGGCTGAAACGTCATTAATATGACATTAAAAGGAAGACAACAGTCCGAACAATGTAAATAGTGTAAATAGTTACAATACTTCATCGCAGAAATATAAACAGATCCTGAAGAAGGTCGGCGCGTACAACGGCCGAAACGTCGTGAATATGGCAACGAAGATGTGGGTAACAGTCCGAACAATGTAAATAGTGTAAATAATTACAATACCTCATCTCAGAAATATAAATAGATCCTGAAGAAGGTCGGAGTGTACAACGGCCGAAACGTCGTGAATATGAAAATAAAGATGAGAACAACAGTCCAAACAATGTAAATAGTGTAAATAGTTACAATACCTCATCTCAGAAATAGAGAAAGATATTGAAGGTGAATATAAGGAAAATGAAGAACAGTCCAAACAATGTAAATGAGGAACAATACCTCATCTCCAGAAAGAGAAAGATAGAGAAGGGTGAATAAAGCAATAAGGAAATGATGACAACAGTCCAAAGAAATGTAAAGGGAAAGAGGAATAGGATAAATAGAAATCTGAGAAATAGAGAAAGATATTGAAGGTGAATATGAAAAAGAAAAATGAGGACAACAGTCCAAACAATGTAAATTTTGAAAGAGAAGTTAAAATACCTCATCTGAAAGAAAAGAGAAAGATGAAGAAGAGAAAAGAGAAATGGTAAAAGGAAAGAAGGACAACAGTCAAACAAGAGAAATAGTGAAAGAGAAGAGAATCTCAGAAATAGAAAAAGATATTGAAGTGAATATGCTAAAAATAAAATGAGGACAACAGTCCAAACAATGAGAAAATAGTGTAAATAGTTACAATACCTCATCTCAGAAATAGAGAAAGATATTGAAGGTGAATATGAAAATAAAGATGAAGGACAAAGAGAAAAGAATGTAAATAGTGTAAAAAGAGAAAGAAATGACCTCATAAAGAGAAATAAAAAAATAGAGAGGTGAAAAAGAAAAATAAAAAAGGGTGAAAGAGGTCCAAAAAATGAAAGAAATAGAAGAAAAGAGACAATACCTGAATAGAAAAGAGAAAAGAAGGAAATAGAGAGGGAAAGAAAGATGAAGGAAATGAAGAACAGCGAAAAGAGAAATAAATAAAAGACCTCATCTTAGAAATAGAGAAAGAGAAGAGAAAGAGAAAAAAGAAAGATGAAGGAAATGAAGAACAGTAAAAAGAGAAATGTAAAGGAAAGAGTGAACAGTATAAAGAGAAATAGAGGAAGAGAAGAGAAAGAGAGAGGGTAAGAAAGATGAATGAAAATGAAGAAAGAAAAGAGAAAACAAAGGAAAGAGTGAAAAGTTAAAGAGAAAAGAAAAGAGAAGAGAAAGAGAGAAGGTGAAGAAAGAAAAAAGGAAATAAATAGAAACAGTCGAAAAAGAGAAATGTAAAGGAAAGAGTGAACAGTATAAAGAGAAATAGAGAAAGAGAAGAGAAAGAGAGAGGGTAAGAAAGATAAAGGAAATGAAGAACAGCGAAAAGAGAAATGTAAAGGAAAGAGTGAACAGTATAAAGAGAAATAGAGAAAGAGAAGAGAAAGAGAGAGGGTAAGAAAGATGAAGGAAATGAAGAACAGCGAAAAGAGAAATGTAAAGGAAAGAGTGAACAGTACAAAGAGAAATAGAGAAAGAGAAGAGAAATGTGAATAACAAAGATGAAGGAAATGAAGAACAGTGAAAAGAGAAATGTAAAAAAACATGAAAAATATAAAGAGAAGAGAAAGAGAAGTTTGAGAGAAAGAGAGAGGGTAAGAAAGAAAAGGAAATGAAGAATAAACAGAAAAGAGAAAAAAAAATGAAAAGGAAAGAGAAAATAGAGAAAGAGAAAGAGAAAGAGAGAAAGAGAAAAGAAAGAATATGGAAAACAAAGAAAAAGGACAACAGTGAAAAAGAAAAATTTAAATAAAGAGGAATACCTCAAAGAGAAATAGAGAAAGAGAAGAGAAAGAGAGAGGGAAAGAAAATGAAGGGAAGAACAGCAAAAAAGAGAAATGTAAAGGAAAGAGGATGTAGTATAAAGAGAATCAGAGAAAAGAGAAGAGAAAAAGACAGAGAAAGAAAGATGAAATAAAATAAAGAACAGAAAACAAGAAATGTAAACAATATTGAAAGAAAAGAGAAATACAGAAAGAGAGAAAGAAAGAGAGAGGTAAAGAAAGAGGAAGGAAATGAAAACAATGTAAAAAGAGTAAATAGTTAAAGGAAAGACCTCATGAAAGAGAAATAGAGAAAGAGAACCTGAATATGGTAAGAAAGATGAGGACAACAGGAAACAAAGAAATAAAAAAGAGAAAAAGGAAAAGAGGAAGAGAAGGACAAGAGAAATAGAGAAAGAGAAGAAAGAAAAGAATAAAAAAAAAAGGAAAGGAAAAAGTGAAAAACAATGTAAAAGGAAAGAAAGTGAACAGTCAAAGAGAAAGAGAAAAAGAAGAGAAAGAGAGAAATAAGAAAAAAGATGAAGACAACAGTGAAAACAATGTAAAAGTGAAAAGTTACAATACTTCATCTCAGAAAAGAGAAAAAGATAAAGAAAGAGAATAGAGGCGAAAAGATGAAGGAAACAGAAAAACAATGTGGCAGAGAAATGTAAAGGACAGAGGAACAAGAGAAAGATAAAGAGAGAGGTGAATAAGAAAAGAGAAAGAGAGAAATAAAAGATGAAAGAAAAATGAAAAGGAAAAAGAGAAATGTAAAGGAAAGAGAAAGAGTATAAAGAAATAGAGAAAGAATGAAAGTGAAAAGGGGAAAGAAAGAAAAAAGAAATGAAGAACAACAGGAAAAACAATGTAAAGGAAAGAAAATAGTTACAAGAGATCTCAGAGAAATAGAAGAGAAAGATATTGAAGGTGAATAAAGATGAAAGATGAGAAAACAGTCCAAAAGAGAAATGTAAATAGTGTAAAGAGAAACAATACCTCATCTCAGAAATAGAGAAAGATATTGAAAAAGATATGGTAAGAAAGATAAAGAAATGAACAACAGTCCAAAAAGAAAAAGTAAAGGTAAATAGGAACAATATAAAGAGATCTCAGAAAAAGAGAAAGAAAGAGAAGGGAATATGATGAATAAAGATGAAGAACAACAGTCCAAACAATGTAAAGGAAAGAGTTACAATAAACCTCATCTGAGAAATAGAGAAAGATATTGAAGGTGAAAATATGGAAATAAAGATGAGGGAAAAGAGAAAAACAATGTAAAGAAACAAATAGTTAGAAATACCTCAAAGAAAGAGAAAGAGAGAATAAGAAAGAGAAAGAAATTGAAGGTGAATAGAGAAATAAAGAATGAGGAACAGTCCAAACAATGTAAAGAAATAGAGTAAATAGATGAAGGAATAACCTCATCTCAGAAATAGAGAAAAAGATATTGAAGGTGAATATGGAAATAAAGATGAGGACAACAGTCCAAACAATGTAAAAATTGTGAAAAATAGTTACAATACCTCATCTCAGAAATAGAGAAAGATATTGAAAGGTGAATATATAAATAAAAAAGATGAGGACAACAGTCCAAACAATGTAGGAAGTGTAAATAGTTAAAATACCTCATGAAAGAAATAGAGAAAGATATTGAAGGTGAATATGGAAAGAAAGATGAAGGACAAGAAAGTCCAAACAATGTAAAGAGTGTAAAGGAAACAATACCTCATCTCAGAAATAGAGAAAGATATTGAAGGTGAATATGGTAAGAAAGATGAGGACAACAGTCCAAACAATGTAAATAGTGTAAGTAGTTAGTGAATACCTCATCTCAGAAATAGAGAAAGATATTGAAAAGGTGAATATGGCAATAAAGATGAGGACAACAGTCCAAAAAATGTAAATAGTGTAAATAGTTACAATACCTCATCTCAGAAATAGAGAAAGATATTGAAGGTGAATATGGCAGTGAAGATGAGGACAACAGTCCAAACAATTTAAATAGTGTAAATAGTTAAAATACCTCATCTCAGAAAAAGAGAAAAGAGAAATTGAAGGTGAATATGGCAATAAAAGATGAAGGACAACAGTCCAAACAATGTAAATAGTGTAAATAGTTAGGAATACCTCATCTCAGAAATAGAGAAAGATATTGAAGAAAGAATATGGTAAATAAAGATGAGGACAACAGTCCAAACAATGTAAAAGAGAAATAGTTAAAATGAACCTCATCTCAGAAATAGAGAAAGAGAAGAAGGTGAATATGGTAAGTAAAGATGAGGACAACAGTGAAAACAATGTAAAGAGTGTAAAGGTTACAATACCTCATCTCCAGAAATAGAGAAAGAGAAGAGAAAAGAGAGGGTGAAAAGATGAATAAAAGATGAGGACAACAGCGAAAAAAGAAATGTAAATAGTGAAAATAGTGAAACAATACCTCATCTCAGAAATAGAGAAAGATAAGAGAAGGTGAATATGGTAAGAAAGATGAGGACAAAGTGAAAAACAATGTAAAATAGTGAAAGAAAGTTACAATACCTCATCTCAGAAAAGAGAAAGATATTGAAGGTGAATATGGTAATAAAGATGAGGACAACAGTCCAAACAATGTGAAAAAGTGTAAATAGTTACAATACCTCATCTCAGAAAAGAGAGAAAGAGATTGAAGGTGAATATGGCAATAAAGATGAGGAAAATGAAGTCCAAACAATGTAAAAATGTAAAGGAAGTTACAATACCTCAAAGAGAAATAGAGAAAGATATTGAAGGTGAATATGGAAATAAAGATGAGGAAAACAGTCCAAACAATGTAAATAGTGTAAAGAGAAAAAGAAAGACAATACCTCATCTCAGAAATAGAGAAAGATATTGAAGGTGAATATGAAAAGAGAAATGAGGACAACAGTCCAAACAATGTAAATAGTGTAAATAGTTACAATACCTCATCTCAGAAATAGAGAAAGAGAAAAGAAAGGTGAATATGGCAATAAAGATGAAGGACAACAGTCCAAACAATGTAAAAAGTGTAAATAGTTACAATACCTCAGAAAAAGAGAAATAGAGAAAGAGAAGAGAAAGTGAATATGGTAAGAAAGATGAAGGACAATGAAGTCCAAAAAAGAGAAAATAGTGAAAATGGTTACAATAAAGAGATCTAGAAAAAGAGAAAGATATTGAAGGTGAATAAGAAATAAAGATGAGGACAACAGTCCAAACAATGTAAATAGTGTAAATAGTTACAATAACCTCATCTAGAGAAATAGAAGAGATATAGAAGGTGAATATGATGAATAAAGATGAGAACAACAGTCCAAACAAGAGAAATAGTGTAAATAGTTACAATACCTCATAAAGAGAAATAGAGAAAGATATTGAAGAAAGAATATGGCAAGAAAGAAAGGGAAATGAAGTCCAAACAATGTAAGAAATGTAAAGGAGTTACAATAAATAAAAGAGAAATAGAGGAAGAGAAAGATAAGAGAAGGTGAATATGGAATAAAGATGAGGACAACAGAAAAACAATGTAAATAGTGTAAATAGTTACAATACCTCAGAGAAAGAGAAAAGAGAAAGATATTGAAGGTGAATATGGCAAGAAAGATGAAAGGAAAGTCCAAACAATGAAAAAAAATGTAAATAGTTACAATACCTCATAAAGAGAAATAGAGAAAGATATTGAAGGTGAAAGGTAAGAAAATAAAGAAAGGAAGAACAGTCCAAACAATGTAAAAAGGAAAGAGTTACAATACCTCATAAAGAGAAATAGAGAAAGATATTGAAGAAAGAATAGGGCAAGAAAAAGATGAAGGAAATGAAGAAGTCCAAAAAGTAAATAATGTAAATAGAAACAATACCTCATCTGAGAAATAGAGAAAGATAAGAGAAGGTGAATATGGTAAGAAAGATGAAGGAAAGTCCAAACAATGTAAATAGTGTAAAGGAAAGTTACAATACCTCAAAGAGAAATAGAGAAAGATATTGAAGGTGAATATGGTAAATAAAGATGAAGGAAACAGAAGAAACACAAAAGAGAAATGTAAAAAAAGTTACAACACCTCACAAAGAGAAATAGAGAAAAAGAATTGAAAGGAGAATATAAGAAAATAAAGAAAGGAAGAACAGTCCAAACAATGTAAGAAATGTAAAGGAGTTACAATACCTCAAAGAGAAATAGAGAAAGATATTGAAAAGAATAGGTAAGAAAGATGAAGGGACAACAGTCCAAAAAAGAGAAATAAAAGGAAATAGTGAACAAGTATAAAGAGAAATAGAGAAAGAAAGAGAAATTGAAGGTAAGAAAATATGGAAATAAAGATGAAGGAAAAGAGTCCAAACAATGAAAATAGTATAAAGAGTTACAATACCTCAGAGAGAGGAAAAGAGAAAGAAATGAAAAGGTGAAAAAGAGAAAGATGAGACAGACAGTCCAAACAATGTAAATAGTGTAAATAGTTAGAATACCTCATCTGAGAAAGAGAGAAAGATAAGAAGGTGAATATGAAAATAAAATGAAGGACAACAGTCAAACAATGTAAAGAAGAAAAAAAGTTAGGAATACCTCATAAAGAGAAATAGAGAAAGAGATTGAAAGAAAGAGAGAGGGAAAGAAAGATGAAGGAAAGGAAAAGTCCAAACAAAAAGAAAAATGTAAATAGAAACAGGAACAGTATAAAGAGAAATAGAGAAAGATAGAGAAGGAGAATATGGTAAGAAAGATAAAAAGGAAACAGTCCAAACAATGTAAGAAATGTAAAGGAAAGAGTGAATACCTCATAAAGAGAAATAGAGAAAGAGAATTGAAAGAGGGAATAAAGAATAAAGATGAAACAACAGGGAAAAAGAAATGTAAATAGGTAAAAATAGGAACAATACCTCAAAGAGAAATAGAGAAAGAGAAGAGAAAGAAATATGGCAAGAAAGATGAAGGAAATGTCCAAACAGCAAAAAGAGAAATGTAAAGGAAGTTACAATACCTCATCTCAAATAGAGAAAGAAATGAGAAAAGAATATGGTAAAAAAAGATGAGAACAACAGTCCAAACAATGTAAAATGTAAAAAAAGTTACAATACCTCATAAAGAGAAATAGAGAAAGATATTGAAGGAGAATATGAAAATGAAAGAATGAGGACAACAGTCCAAACAATGTAAATAAAGTAAAATAGTGAACAATACCTCAAAGAGAAATAGAGAAAGATATTGAGAAAGAGTGAATATGAAAATAAAGAATGAAAAACAGTCCAAACAAAAGAAAAATGTAAAGGAAACAGTGAACCTCATAAAGAGAAATAGAGAAAGATAGAGAAAGGTGAATAGGGTAAGAAAGATGAAGAAATGAACAACAGTGAAAAAAACAATGTAAAAGTGTAAATAGGAATACCTCATAAAAGAGAAATAGAGAAAGAGAATTGAAAGAGAGAATAAGAAAATGAAAGAAATGAAAAACAGTCCAAACAGAGAAATGTAAGTGTAAATAGTTACAATACCTCATCTCAGAAATAGAGAAAGATAAGAGAAAGAGAATATGGCAAGAAAGATGAGGACAACAGTCCAAACAATGTAAAAGAGAAATGTAAATAGAAACAGGACCTCATCTAAAGAGAAATAGAGAAAGAGAAGAGAAAGAGAGAATATGGCAATGAAGAAAAGAACAACAGCCAAAAAGAGAAATGTAAAGGAAAGAGTGAAATAGTTAAAGAGAAAAGAGAAAGAGAGAAAGAAAGAGAGAAGGTGAAGAAAGATAAAAGAAATGAACAAACAGTCCAAACAATGTAAATAGTGTAAAGGAAAGACAACACCTAAAGAGAAATAGAGAAAGATATTGAAAGAATATGGTAAGAAATAAAGATGAAGGAACAACAGTCCAAAGAGAAATGTAAATAGTGGAAAGAGTGAACAATATCATCTCAGAAATAGAGAAAAGATATTGAAGGTAAGAATAGATAAAGGAAATGAATGAGGAACAACAGTCCAAAAATGTAAATTGAAAGTATAAAAGAGAAATAGAATACCTCATCTCAGAAATAGAAGAAAGATATTGAAGGTGAATATGAAAAGAAGTAAAGGAAAGATGAGGACAACAGTCCAAACAATGTAAATAGATGAGAAATAGTTACAATACCTCATCTCAGAAAATGAAGAAAGATAGAAAAGGTGAAAGAAATGAAAATAAAGAAATGAGGAGAAAAGAGTCCAAACAAAGATAAAGGAAATGAAAATAGTTACAATGTAAAAAGGAAATCTGAACAGTACCTCAAAGAGAAATAGAGAAAGAGAATTGAAGGAGAATATGGCAATGAAAGATGAGGACAACAGTCAAAAGAGAAAATAGTGTAAATAGGAACAATACCTCATCTCAGAAATAGAGAAAGATATTGAAAGTGAATATGGCAAGAAAGATGGGGACAAATGAAAACAATGTAAAAAGAGAAATGTAAAGGAAACAGGACCTCAATAAAGAAATAGAGAAAGATATTGAAGAGAAAGAAGATGGTAAGAAAGATGAAGGACATGAAGTCCAAACAATGAAAAATGTAAATAGTGAAAGGAATATACCTCAAAGAGAAATAGAGAAAGATATTGAGAAAGAGAATATAAGTGAAGATGAAGGACAACAGTCCAAACAATGTAAATAGTGTAAAGGAAAGAGGAACAATACCTCATCTCAGAAATAGAGAAAGAATTGAAGGTGAATAGGGTAAGAAAGATGAGGGAAACAGTCCAAACAAAGAGAAATGAAAAGAAAAATAGTTACAATACCTCAAAGAGAAAAGAGAAAGATAAGAGAGAAGGTGAAATGGCAATAAAGATGAGGACAACAGTGAAAAAACAATGTAAATAATGTAAATAAAGAGACAATACCTCAGAAGAAGAAAGAGAAAGATATTGAAAGATGAAATGAAATGAAGATGAGGACAAAGTCCAAACAATGTAAAGGATTGAGTAAATAGTTAAAGACCTCAGAGAAAAGAAAAGAGAAAGAGAGAGGGAAAGAAAATATGGAGTGAAGATGAAGGGACAACAGAAAAACAATGTAAAAAGGAAATAGTTACAATACCTCAGAAATCTCAGAAATAGAGAAAGATAAAGAAGGTGAATATGGAAATGAAAGAAAGGACAACAGTCCAAACAAGAGAAAAAAGTGTAAATAGTTACAATACCTCATAAAGAGAAATAGAGAAAGATATTGAAGGTGAATATGGAAAATGAAAGAAATGAAGAAAGTCAAAAAGAAATGTAAATAATGTAAATAGTAAAAAGACCTCATCTGAGAAAGAAGAGAAAGATATTGAAGGTGAATATGGATAAGTGAAGATGAGGACAACAGTCCAAACAATGTAAAAGTGTAAATAGTTACAATACCTAAAGAGAAATAGAGAAAGATATTGAGAAAGAAATATGGCAAGAAAGATGAAGGACAACAGTCCAAACAATGAAAAGAGAAATGTAAAGGAAAGAGGAACACCTCATCTCAGAAATAGAGAAAGATAAGAGAAAGAATATGGTAATAAAGATGAAAGGACAACAGTCCAAACAATGTAATGTAAAGTGTAAATAGTGAACAATAGACTCATCTCAGAAATAGAGAAAGATATTGAAGGTGAATATGGAAAGTGAAGATGAGGAAAACAGTCCAAACAATGTAAAGAGTGTAAAGGAAACAATACCTCATCTCAGAAATAGAGAAAGAAATTGAAAGTGAATATGGAAAGAAAGATGAAGAAAATGGACAACAGTCCAAACAATGTAAAAAGTGTAAATAGTTAAAAGACCTCAGAGAAGAAAAGAGAAAAGATAGGGAAGGTGAATATGGAAATAAAGATGGGGACAAGAGTCCAAACAATGTAAATAATGTAAATAGTTACAAGACCTCATAGAGAAATAGAGAAAGATATTGAAGGTGAATAAAGATGAAAGATGAAGGACAACAGAAAAAACAATGTAAAAGTGTAAATAGTTACAATACCTCAAAGAGAAATAGAGAAAGAGAATTGAAGGTGAATATGGCAGTGAAGGAAAGGACAACAGTCCAAACAATGTAAAAGGAAATAGGAACAATAAATCAAGAGAAAAAGAGAAAGATATTGAAAGAGAAGGGGAAGAAAAAGATGAAGGACAACAGTCCAAAGAAATGTAAAAAGTGTAAATAGTTAAAATACCTCATCTCAGAGAAATAGAGAAAGATATTGAAGGTGAATATGGCAAGAAAAGATGAAGACAAAGTGAAAACAATGAAAAAAAATAATGTAAAGGAAAGAGTGAATACCTCAAAAAGAGAAAAGAGAAAGAGAAGAGAAGGTGAATATGGTAAGAAAGATGAAGGAAAATGAAGTCCAGTGAAATGTAAATTGTGTAAAAAGTTACAATACTTCATCTGAGAAATAGAGAAAGATATTGAAAAGAGAATAAGAAAATGAAAGAAAGGGAAACAGTCCAAACAAGAAAAATAGTGGAAATAGTTACAATACCTCAAAGAGAAAAGAGAAAAGAATTGAAGGTGAATATGAAAGAAAGATGAACAGGACAACAGTCCAAACAGCAAAAAAAAAGTGTAAATAGTTACAATACCTCATCTCAGAAAGAGAGAAAGAGAAAAATTGAAGGTGAATATGGAAAGAAAGATGAAAGGACAACAGTCCAAACAATGAAAAATAATGTAAATAGTAAAGGAATACCTCATCTGAGAAATAGAGAAAGATATTGAAGGTGAATATGAATGAAGATGAGGACAACAGTCCAAACAATGTAAATAAAGTAAATAGTTACAAACCTCATCTCAGAAATAGAGAAAGATATTGAAGGTGAATATGGAATGAAATGAGGACAACAGTCCAAACAATTTAAATAAAGTGTAAAGAGTTACAATACCTCAAAGAGAAATAGAGAAAGATAAGAGAAGGAGAATATGAAAATGAAAGATGATGACAACAGTCCAAACAATTTTAAATAGTGTAAATAGTTACAATACCTCATAAAGAGAAATAGAGAAAGATATTGAAGGTGAATATGGCAAGAAAAGATGAAGGGACAACAGTCCAAAAAATGTAAATAAAGTAAATAGTTACAATACCTCATCTGAAAAATAGAGAAAAGATATTGAAGGAGAATATGGTAATAAAGATGAAGGACAATGAAGTCCAAACAATGTAAATAATGTAAAAAAGTTACAATACCTCATAAAGAGAAAAGAGGAAAAAGATATTGAAGGTGAAATATGAAGGAAAAGATGAGGACAACAGTCCAAACAATGTAAATAGTGTAAATAGTTACAATACCTCATCTCCAGAAATAGAGAAAGAACAATATTATAGATTTATCTTTTGAATAAACGTTACATACTTTGAATATAAAGTTATGTGCAGTTTGAATAAAAGCACCAGTTCTAATGAGTCGATGATTCTATGTGTATTTGTGATTTTGTTAACATAGCAAAAAGGTTACAATGAAGAATAATTATATTAGCACAAATGCCCTTCAAATGTTCTTAATTGGAAATAAAGCAATTTCCAATGCGCGTGTCATACATCTCTCTGTTCAAGTCTATATAAAAGATTTAGATTTGGAAAACTGGCTTTCACTGTTTTAAAGATTGGCGCAGCACAATCTTCCTGGCTCTGCTATCAACTAAACAGAATCAAGAAAATAAATGTCAGAGAAAAGTATTTATTCTTTTATTTGAAAATTTCATTCATTTTTTCTTTTGAAAATCAAATTTTATATATTTTGAAATTATCAGTCTGCTTTCTTTCTCTCTTTCTTTCTTTCTTTCTTTCTTTCTTTCTCTCTTTCTTTCTTTCTTTCTTTCTTTCTTTCTCTCTTTCTTTCTTTCTTTCTCTCTTTCTTTCTTTCTTTCTTTCTCTCTTTCTCTCTTTCTTTCTTTCTTTCTTTCTTTCTTTCTTTCTTTCTCTCTTTCTCTCTTTCTTTCTTTCTTTCTTTCTCTCTTTCTTTCTTTCTTTCTTTCTTTCTTTCTTTCTTTCTTGTTTGTTTTTCTTTCTTTCTTTCTTTTTCTTTCTGGTTTTTCTTTCTTTCTTCTTCCTTTATTTTTGTTTCTTTTTAGTTTTTCTTCTTTGTTTCTTTCTTTTTTCTTTGTTTGTTTGTTTGTTTGTTTCTTTCTTGTTTGTTTTCTTTCTTTTTCTTTGATCTTTCTTTCTTCTTTTTTTGTTTATAGGTTCTTTATTTCTTTCTTTCGTTTTCTTTCTTAATCTATTTTTCTTTATCTTAGTGCATTTTTTCTTTCTTTCATTTTTGTGTTTATATGTGAATTCGGTTTTCTTTCTTTCCTTCATTCCTTTTACGTCCTGCTTCATTTCATTCTTTTTCTTTTTCTTCTTTCTTTGTTATGCCTATCTTTCATTTTATGTTCTTTCTTTCTTTCTTTCTTTCTTTCTTTAATTTCTTCTTCAACGCTTAATCTAATTTCTTTCTTTCTTTCTTTCTTTCTTTCTCCAATTCATAAACGTCTTTTTTTCTTCAACATAATTCTGTCTCTTTTTTTAGTTTATTGTTCAATTCCTAATCTAATTTCTTTCTTTCTTTCTTTCTTTCTTTCTTTCTTTCTTTCTTTCTTTCTTTCTTTGATTTCTTCTTCAACGCCTAATCTAATTTCTTTCTTTCTTTATTTCTTTCTTTCTTAATTTCTTCTTCAACGCTTAATCTAATTTCTTTCTTTCTTTCTTTCTTTAATTTCTTCTTCAACGTTTAATCTAATTTCTTTCTTTCTTTCTTTCTTTCTTTCTTTCTTTCTTTCTTTCTTTCTTTCTTTGATTTCTTCTTCAACGTTTAATCTAATTTCTTTCTTTCTTTCTTTCTTTAATTTCTTCTTCAACGCTTAATCTAATTTCTTTCTTTCTTTCTTTCTTTCTTTCTTTCTTTTCTTTTCTTTCTTCTTCAACGCCTAATCTAATTTCTTTCTTTCTTTATTTATTTCTTTCTTAATTTCTTCTTCAACGCTTAATCTAATTTCTTTCTTTCTTTCTTTCTTTCTTTAATTTCTTCTTCAACGCTTAATCTAATTTCTTTCTTTCTTTCTTTCTTTCTTTCTTTCTTTCTTTAATTTCTTCTTCAACGCTTAATCTAATTTCTTTCTTTCTTTCTTTCTTTAATTTCTTCTTCAACGCTTAATCTAATTTCTTTCTTTCTTTCTTTAATTTCTTCTTCAACGTTTAATCTAATTTCTTTCTTTCTTTCTTTCTTTAATTTCTTCTTCAACGCTTAATCTAATTTCTTTCTTTCTTTTTTTGATTTCTTCTTCAACGCCTAATCTAATTTCTTTCTTTCTTTATTTCTTTCTTTCTTAATTTCTTCTTCAACGCTTAATCTAATTTCTTTCTTTCTTTCTTTCTTTCTTTCTTTCTTTCTTTCTTTCTCCAATTCATAAACGTCTTTTTTTTCTTCAACATAATTCTGTCTCTTTTTTTTAGTTTATTGTTCAATTCCTAATCTAATTTCTTTCTTTCTTTCTTTCTTTCTTTCTTTCTTTCTTTCTTTGATTTCTTCTTCAACGCTTAATCTA